AAATAAAGGTTAAACTTGGCTTGATACAACACAAGTCAAGTATGGATATTGACTGAGGTTAACTCGATACGACAAATAGGTAAGTTTAAATTAATAAGACACGCGGTTAAGTATAACTAATGGTTAAGTTTAGTTTAATGCGTTAAAAGGTTAATATAGGTATTAGTTATGTTTAGGATTTGTACGATACCATTTCACATGTAGATAGTGCCTAAATGGCTAGATATAGATATTGTTTAAATTGAGTTTTACACGAAAAAAGGTCAAATATATGTACTATTTGAGTTTAGTTTTATACGACGCCTGGACAAACACATATTGGTTAAGCGTCGTTCAATAGTACAAAAGATCATATATAAATAATTTTGTTTGGAATTTTGAGATGAGGAATTGTCTATATACTTTGACTTACGCAATTTATTCAACCTATTGTTCTCATCTGGGTTATTGTAGATATCATTATCGACACAACGCAACGTTTCGGCCAAGTACACTCTGGCCATCTTCAGATGTCCTTTATTATGACTAATACGGGATATCGTATATGTGTTGATCATTCTGTTATTTTTATCCCTACGATGCTGGTTCTTATTCGCTAAACCAAGAACCTGATCCATGAATTGAACTTACAACCTCAAGGTGACTTGATTAATCTACACCTAAATCCAATACAATATGGTTTCCACACTCGGATAACATTGTTTGTTTTGGGTTATAAATTGGATATAATAAGTCACAGTGAAAAGAATTTATTCAAACAACTCGTTTTACTTCCTTATGGCAGGCGTCTTCAGGTCGGAAAGAGAATATAGAGAGTGTGTAAGGAAAGTTCGTTAGAATTTTGTGGAAAGTGTAATAAATAATATTATCAGATGCTACAGCCAGAAAGATATGTTTTTTGTCTTTTATTTTTGTTTTGATTTGTTTTTTCCTATTGAAGCCGTTAACCGCCGCAGGATTTGAAATTAACCCACACCGAATAGATCTTTATTTTTGTTGTTGTACGTTTTTCAGTTCGTATAGATTAGGAATTGTCAATGAATTTTTCTCATCTTGATCGTTATATCTGTTACTATAGATACAACGTTTCGGTCAACCCATCTTCAGGTGTCCATTATTTTGACTGATATTGGATGTCTTATATATATATATATATATATATATATATATATATATATATATATTAATTTTTATGTTATTGTGTCCTTGTGATGCTGGTTCTTAACCATAACATCTTTAATAACGAATAGTTCGAATAAATCGAATTATACTAGATATACATATTGTTTAAGTTTGGCTTAATACGTTATACATAGGTGTTGCATAAATTTAAATCAATAGGATACAATGTCAAATAGATACTGGTTAAGTTGAGATTTATACGGCACAAGGTCAATTATAGATAATGGCTAAGCTTAGTTTAAAACGATAAAAATTCAAACAGATAATAGGCAAGCATAACCTAATACAACAAAAGGTCAAATTCATATATTGGTTACGAGTAGCTTAATACAAACAAAGGGACAATCATAGATATTAGATAAGTATCCATTGATAGCCCACTTTTTTTTCTTTACAATAAGGTTCACTCTGTACAAAGCCAAGGGGACACGCAAAGTAGAGGGTTACGTTAGGAGGTAATTTGTGCGGATATGAGTGGAAGATAACGGTTAACCCTAGCTAGGTTAAGATTGTGGTGATCAGCGAAACATTCTCTTGGGAGTCGGTTTCACAAAGCAGGAGTTCGCGGGAAGAAGCTGTTTGAATGGAACTTGCTTGTCGCAGATGGAATACGGAGAGGGATGTGGGTGGGGTTGCTACTATGTAAGTGGCATGGTGTGTCCTTGCCGTAAAGGTTTGAATTGGCCGGATCAAGGAACGCATTTCGTCCGAGCAATTTCCGTGGAAGTAGCAATAGAACAGAGAGAGGCTTGCCACATCCCGCCTGTGGGAGAGAAATTGATGGGTAATTCGTCACCCACAAGTGTGTGTGTGTGTGTGTGTGTGTGTGTGTGTGTGTGTGTGTGTGTTTAATAGGCTGGTTAATGAAATTCGAGGAATAAAAAGGAAACAAAATGATAAAATTATTGTCAACAAAGACTAATGATTTTTATCATATATTAGTAAGACTTCTGACTAAACCGAGGTACGAAGGAAAAGATTTTAAATTCGGAATTTTCAGACGTTTTCAATGAGACGAGCAATAAATAAAAAAAAGTGGGACTCACCCCTCCAGGGAATTTTGTTCTTGCTGTTGTTTTTTTTTTTTGTTTTTTGTTTAGGTTTTTTTTTGGTTTTTTTTTTTTGTTATTGTGTGTGTGCGCGCGTGCTTTTTTCCCTTCATGTGTTGTATTACTGTAGTTTGCCACGATTAGGGTTGTGGATGATTTGTAGACAGCTCTCTGTGGAAACTTTATTCTCTGAGTAAACTTAAATCTCTGTTTAATCCTTTAAATATGTGATTCTATTTTGAAAATGTGTTTTAACTCCGATTTACGTCTTTCTTGTTGGCTCTTAAATGGAAATGATTCATTTAAGAGCCAACAAGAAAGACGTAAATCGGTGTTAAAACATATTTTCATGAAGGAAAAAAAGCAACATTATAAAGAAGCCCATTGGGCGTCTTTCGTTTTAATTATATATATATATATATATATATATATATATATATATATATATATATATATATATATATATATTCGGTTTATACGTTATTTTCATCAATACAAATATTTTAAGTAAATGCTCTGCTTATAATAAACAGTATTAACAGTAATCGTCTGGTTATTTGTATCTATGAAAATAACGTATAAACAGAAAATATATTAAAATAATTGTCGGGCTTAGTCCATTTCATAATATATGATGTCATTTGTTTACGTTAAGATACAGTTCGAGTAGATATGAGCCTTCGAGAGAAATCATGGGAAATTTGTAGTTTAAAACAGCAATTTAAACTTGCTAACTAGACGCATCCTCTGTAGCTAAATGGTATAGCATGTCAGACTATATGACGGTTCCATGTAGGATACAGATTCGATTCCCATTGGAGGGCAAATATTTTCTATGAGATTTCTCGGACATTCAGGCCGGTAAATGTTGTTAATACTATTTATTATGAACAGAGCATTTACTTAAATATTTGCATCTATGAAAATAACGTATAAGCAGAAAATATATTAAAATGATTGTCGGACTCTGTTTCATTATATATATATATATATATATATATATATATATATATATATATATATATATATATTTCGATTATAGGTGCAGTTCAAAGCTTGTAAAAACTAAAAAGACCTTATGAAACTGGAATTTATAAACAGGGATCATATCATTCATATACAGGTTCGGAGTTAGTGTACTTTATTGAGATTGTTTGCGAAGATGTATTCTCCCCATTTAAATCATTAACCTCTATATTTTTTTTTTTTTTTTTTGAAAAGATTCATATAGTATATATATATATATATATATATATATATATATATATATATATATATATATATATACAATATGATGAACAGCCCTCGATTTGTATAATAAAATCTCACATCAAATGCTGTAAATATTTCTCATCGTATCTTAGTTTCTTTCTTTTTCTTTCTAATTCTCACCTTTTTATGAAAAAAAAAGATAGTCATTCACAGGTAAATACGCAAAAGAGTATGGAAATGGAATTGCCAAAAGTTATTTGGACATCTTCAAACAAACAAAAATATAATCATTGTTGGCCCGATGAACATTGTTAATTAATTGATTGATTGATTTTTTTACGGCTTATCAACTCTTTGTGGGTTATTTAAAGTCGAAGTATATTTCGTACCGTATGAGGTTCCTTGCAGTACCGCACGATCAAGAAGTGAAAATGTTTAAATGAAATTAATTGAATTTAAATGAATTTAATTGAAAATATTTTAAATTATCAAACTGAATTTTTGTCCAATAAAAAGTTTTCAAATACGACTGTAGTGTTGTTTCTCCGAAAAACTTTGTCTTCAAAATAAGGATGCGTCTTATATTCCGAAAAATACAGAAACTGATTTAATATACCGCCGCTCTAAAAGATCCCCAAAGATGAAAATGATTTTCAAAAAGGCGAGAGGGACAGAAGAAAACAACGCATAACATACTTAGTAAGCTTGAGTAAATGGATGTCAGAACAAGATTTAGAAGAAATAACAAAAAGAGAAAAATTATTAAGGGCTAAGAAGGACAGGAAATTGTGGAGAGCCATGATCGCCAATGTCCTGAATGGACACGGCATATAAAAACGCTCTATTATAACATGTGAACATGCTACACTGCCCGCTCACCAACTGCGCCCCATGCTGGCCATGATAGTCATCTTAGTGGGGTTACATGGATTGATAATGTTCTCCACTTGTGAAACAGTCCCAACCTCTCCCATTTCTTCGATAGATTTGGATGATAAGGCAAGCACATATTGAATTCGACCCGTTTAATCGTCTGTTTAATCTCTTTTGGGAATCAATGATTAACGAAAATGTAGGAAAATGCTGAAACAATATCGACAGTTCCGTCTACCCAATTTCACTCATAAGACTTGCGTGGACCCGAGGGGTCTGGTTTTTAAGGCACTTTCCAACGGTGACTTCGCGTGGTCGAGTGGTTAGAACGTTCGTTTTCCGACCTCGAGATCCGAATTCGAATTTGTCTGGGTGGAGACGTTCTGGTTTTATTGGCGTTGAGAGGCGATCCCACTGTTGGTTGGTTGTTTTTATTTAGTGGCATATCAACTTCTATGGACTATTTAATGCCGAAATGTAAATATTTTGTAAGTAATTTTATTTTATTTTTGGAAATAATAATGGTTTAGTCATACAAGTCTTACTAATTAACCCATAGCTGGAGGGAGAAGAGTTGGCTTCATACCTTTCCCAAGGAGATATTTGCGTAAGTGAATATAACGAAGCCAATCTCCGATTAACAATTCCGATCTATTATTCATTACTCCGCCTTCACATTCAAGCTTACTGTACAAGGTATTCCCAAGGGGTCATCCATCTAGGTACTGAACAGTATCGCCGTTGCTTAACTTCGATGATCGTACGGGAAACGGTGTTTCAATGTGATATGACCGTAAGCCTGCGACACTGTTATAAAGTGCTTGAAAACCATGCCACGGGTTGACCCAAGCCCTGTGAGCGAAAGTGGGTAGACGGAAATGTTCTCAGGCCGTCGATACCTTGTGCTAGTACGAATTGACAAGTCATTGTGGCCGATAGGGCTTCACCCTACTGGCTTTGTTCAAATTGTTAATCACACCAGATTAGGCTTCAGTATAACGCACATAAATATACCTGAGCAGGTGTCTTCAAGAGGGATTGAAAATGAGTAACCTAACATTATTATTATGCTTTATATGAAAATGATTTGCTTTTTTCCCACTGATCTACTTCGTGAAAATGGGAAATAAAAGAAGTGAAAAAGTTGCTAAATGCCAGTTGGATTCTTGAAAATGACGGACCCAAACACAAAGATCTCCTTGGCTAACAACTTCTTGACTCCCCCAAGTGATGCTCATTATACTAGGTTTTCTGACAAAAATATAAATACAATGAATCCTCCCGGTTAAATTCATAATTCCGGAATTTCCTTGCCAGGTAGGATCGGCTTCAATCGTGTCACCTAATTTACAGATGGTGCAAACCATTTCGCCAATAATCAAATATGGTCACTTTTAAAGTCCCCGAAGCACGATCCCTTTCGGCTGTCCGACCACTGCTCTATGCAGAAATAAATTTGTGATGATGTTATTTACAAATTCTACCACAAATTCAACATTTTTAGTTTATTTATCTATTACTTTATTTATCTGTTTATTTATCTGCCTGTCTGTTTATCTTTCTTTTCCTAAATTCCTGATACGTAAAGAAAAAAAAAATCTTTGCCTGATAATTGTTTCAACTTTTCCAGAAGTACAACACAAATACTACACCAAAATAATTTTAAAAAACAGAGTCGTCCTTTCTTGATTCTTGTATAAAATAGAATCATCGAAAAGTAACAGTTTTTTCGAAAAATAATGCCCGATTTTAGAATAAACTTTTATTCCTGAATTAATGCAGTTAAACGGTGCTTAAATCTGCCAAAATAGGAATCTTGGACATGTATATATTTTTGCCATTGAGTTCTGTTATATACCGTACCTATGAACACTAATGGGTATGTCCCAAAAAAAAAAAAAAAACCCACACTATTGTAACACAAACTTTCTATATATTTGTAGCGATTTTCAAGCGTATAAAGGTGAACCGTAAGCATGGGGTAACCAGTGAGGATCGAACTCACTACTCATTCGTAATTTGTAAGCTTGCAACATTCCCGCCTATGCCGTTACAATATGATGATTTGCCATCGTAGAACAAGATGTGGAAAAGGCCAATTTGGGGCAACCCAATGAAGATCGAACTCAAACTCATTCAGTAATTGTGCTAGCGAGGACAATTTGTTAACCATTACACCGCCTCGGGGTGCGCCTCGTCTTACAATATAGTGATTTGCCTAGTGTAGATAAGATGTGACACAAGGCCCGAAGTATGGGGCACCCAGTGAGGATCGAACTCACTACTCATTCGTAAATGTGCTAGCGAGACAAGCTTGCTAACCATTACACTGCCTCGGGATGTCCAATATGTTTCTTAAGTAATCCACCACTAGCAGTGGTTTACCTACTTCACGCCGCTGGCGAGTATTGTATTTTGTTGATGTTATAAAGATTACCATTTTCATTTCCAATCTCCGTTTTGGTTATTCCTCGTTCAGTAGCATTTACAACAAATTCGAAGGTTATTTACAATAAAACTCTAAAGGTTTGAACACCAAGAAATCTTTGAATGCAGTATCTGCATCTTTTTGTAAGTAAATGTCTTTTGGCTTAAAAAAAATTGTCAAGATGCTTAAAAAAAAGTGTGTGAGCAAAAGATCAGGGGAATATAGTACGTGTGACAAAGTCTTGTTGCCCAAATTGGTGAGCTTCTTCAGGGTCATACTGGCAATATGTGGCCGAATATTGCCATGAAGCAGAATTGGACCTCGTCGATTAACCACTGTCGGTCGCATTTTGCTTAACTGAATGTGCATTTCATCCAGTTGTTGGCATTAAAATTTGACGGCGATGTTCTGCTTAAATTCCAGAAAATTGTAATGGTTAATGTCAATGGTGGTCTACCAGACGGTCACCATAATCTTCGGTTGGTGTGATTTCGCTTCTGGAAATCATTCTGTTCCTTCGTTAGTGAGCCGATCGTTTACGATTGTCATAATCCATTTCTCATCACAAGTCACTATTCGATCAAGAAATGGATCATTCGAATTCAGCAGATGCATCAGCGAACACACTTCAAAACGTCGAACTCTTTTACCTTCAATGAGTTCGTGTAAAACCCATTTATCGAGTTTCTTTCCATTTTCTTCCCTTTGTCACTTTTCTTGAGACGGTCAGATATTGTTGAAATACAGACACTCACCATCTGAGACATTTCTCTGACACTTTGACCTAGGTTTTGTTTAACTAGTGTTTTCAAGACTGTCAAGTCTCGTATTCCCGCTGCAGAGCGCCGTACTGTCTGATCACAATTGGATCCTTCACCCCATGCTCTGTTAATATTGGCAGCAGTTTAAGAAGCATTATTACCAAGCTCGAACTCATGTAAAGAAAAAATAAACGAATCTTTTTTCATGATATATATTATTTTTCAGTGTATATAATGTTTCAAGTTAAATTGTGAAAGAGATTGATATAAAATAACAAAGAGGACACTGGACACTTTAATCATTAGGAATGAGTGATATATTTTTGTGTAACTATAATAATAAACCCTGGTTGTCAGCAAGAGGAAAAGGCCAAGTAAAGGAAAGCGAGAAGAAAGGGCTAAACATCAAATGTAAGAAGACAGAATACCTGGTTGTCAGCAAGAGGAAAAGGCCAATTTAAATAAAGCAAGAAGAAAGGACTAAACATCAATTGTAAGAAGACAGAATACCTGGTTGTCAGCAAGAGGAAAAGGCCAAGTAAAGGAAAAAGCGAGAAGAAAGGACTAAGCATCAATTGTAAGAAGACAGAATACCTGGTTGTCAGCAAGAGGAAAAGGCCAAGTAAAGAAAAGCGAGAAGAAAGGACTAAGCATCAATTGTAAGAAGACAGAATACCTGGTTGTCAGCAAGAGGAAAAGGCCAAGTAAAGAAAAATGAAGAAAAGACTAAGCATCAATTGTAAGAAGACAGAATACCTGGTTGTCAGCAAGAGGAAAAGGCCAAGTAAAGGAAAGCGAGAAGAAAGGACTAAACATCAATTGTAAGAAGACAGAATACCTGGTTGTCAGCAAGAGGAAAAGGCCAAGTAAAGGAAAGCAAGAAGAAAGGACTAAACATCAATTGTAAGAAGACAGAATATCTGGTTGTCAGCAAGAGGAAAAGGCCAAGTAAAGGAAAGCGAGAAGAAAGGACTAAGCATCAATTGTAAGAAGACAGAATACCTGGTTGTCAACAAGAGGAAAAGGCCAAGTAAAGAAAAGCGAGAAGAAAGGACTAAGCATCAATTGTAAGAAGACAGAATCCCTGGTTGTCAGCAAGAGGAAAAGGCCAAGTAAAGGAAAATTAAGAAGAAAGGACTAAACATCAATTGTAAGAAGACAGAATCCTGGTTGTCAGCAAGAGGAAAAGGCCAAGGGTCAGAAAAGCGAGAAGAAAGGGACTAAGCATCAATTGTAAAAAGACAGAATATAAATTCGTCAAAAGAGGAACAGTCTAAATATTGCGCATTACAAATTTTATTGCTACCAGAAAATCAAACAAGTACAACAATTTAGATATCTAGGAACTTTTATAAAAAGAAGGAAAATGCGACACCGAAATCTGAAGGTTTTTGGGATAACAAATATGCCTTACAAAAACTAAGCAAAATATTAAGAAAATGGAAAAATTTCTTTAGAATCAAAGAAAAAGAGTTTTCTGGGCCGTTCTGTTTACCAATTCTCTCTGGCGTTTTTTTCCTAACAATCTCTTTACAGATGAAGAAGAAACATGGTTCTACAGAAGGATGCTAAGGATACAGTGGATTGATTGACAACAAAGTTTTAAAGAAACTAAAATCAAAAAGGTCACTTTACGTAGCCTCAGAGTGTGACAGTTAAAATTTCTCAATCGCATATTTGAGAAAATCAGGCTTGGACAATTTGAACCTCTCAGGACATATTGAAGTAAGTGTCTTACAAAGGAAAGCAGCATTCAATCTAACAAGCTTGTGTAAATGTTTGGCAGAACAGGGATTAGGAGAGATAGCAAAATGACAAAAATTATTAAAAGCTACAAAGGAGAGGAAATTGTGAAGAGTCATGATCTCTCACGTCATGAAGGGACGTGGTACAACGAATAATAATAATAAGAAGAAGAAGAAGAAGAAGAAGAAGAATATATTAGAACACAAAAGTTTATTCTAAAATCGGACATTATTTTCAGAACACCCTAATATATTTTAGGTACAAGGTTCAATTTCCTTTTTTCAATGTTATCTCTTTCTTTTTTATGTCTCTCTCTCTGTCTCTCTCTCTGTCTCTCTCTGTCTCTGTCTCTCTCTGTCTCTCTCTGTCTCTGTCTCTCTCTCTGTCTCTGTCTCTCTCTCTGTCTCTCTCTCTCTCTCTTATTACCGCCACTCCATACAAGGTACATAAAAGAATTTATTTTCAACTTTGAAATTATTCTAAAAAGCAACAATTTAAGAGTATACACATCTGAGAATGGAATGTCATGTTGGAATCTTCAACTGATTAACTTTTTAGCTTAAATCATAAACACTTTCTGTTTTCATTTATTAACTTTATTCTTCAAAAAGTAAAGTACAATTAAATGTTATTCTGTTATTTGTTTTGACGTACTACCACAAGCAGCTCTTCTACAATGATGTTCAGCCTGTGCAAGGCCCAAGAATCTCTCCAAGCAAGGTGATAATATCACCAAGACACAAGGGGTCACCGTAAGTGAAAGAAAAGAAAAAGACTTTAGAAGGAAACTGAAATCCAATCCTAAACAGAAAATGCGGAATAAATGTCTACTCCTGTTCAAAAGACCGAAAGGAGTGTGAAC